TTGGAGAAACAAATTCAATGATATGAAGGCTTGCATCAACATAAGTGGTGCGGGGTGGGATGAGGATAATTGTATGATAATTCTAGATGAGGAGACACTTAAAATATGGGCTCAGGTATTAATTCTATCGTAACAACACATTGCATTTATTTGGACGTGAGAAGGTTATAACTAATTTCACACTATTTTTCACATATTGCAGGACAAAAAGAATTCAAAGCTAATAGGATATATAAACAAGCCTCTTCCCTTCTACAAACATTTACAGAAGATCATGGGTGATGATCAAGCTAGGGGTGATTTTGTTAGGCCAATTTATGATAAGATTGGTACTAACAACGTCATTCCTCTTGATGATGATGATATGGACATTCCACTTGAGAGTGAAGTTGAGCCACAATCCGATGCTAACATTACCCCAAACTCCACATCTAGAAAATCCCAACGTGAATCTAAAACAAAGCCATCTTCAAGCAAGAGACCTCGACACTCAAATGATGATGAGTTGATACATAGCTTTGTTGAGTCAATGTCGGAGTCAATTAGAAATCAACACATTATACATTGGACTGAACAATTAGCTGCAGCTTTGAAGAACCATAGTGACTCTTATAGTGATAAATTCCTTGATAAGGTTTTAGATCATTTGTATGAAAGTGAGCGTGAGGCTAGGAGGTTTTTTATAAAAACGAAGGAGGCTCAGAAGAGGTTTCTTGCAAGTCTTGCTGCGGCTCAAGGATGGGACACGTCATAGTGTGTTGTTGTTCTGTGCACACAACACTCAATTTTGCTAATTCACATGTTTTGTTACTATTCCCTCGCAAACTTGTATTTTGTTACTTGCAAACTTTAGATGTTGCAATTTGTGCTCGTTGTCGAGCTATGATGTTTTTTGGGTTTTTTTGGTTGAAATTTGTGCTCGTTGTCGAGCTATGAGGCTGTTTTTCCATTTAATATGCTGATTCGAGCTTGTTTAGCTCTACATTGTTAAGTTTTTTGGTCGATATTTGTGCTGGTTGTCGAGCTTTGGGGCTGTTTTTCTTATTACTATGCTGATTTGAGCTTGTTTAGCTCTCTATTGTTGGGTTTTTTGGTCGATATTTGTGCTCGTTAGCGAGCTGTTGGGGCTGTTTTTTCCAGTTACTATGCTGATTATCCATACACGTCAGACCGATTTTGCTAGCGCATCTATTCCCCAACACAACCGATTTCTTTATGACTGCGTGCAACAGAAATAGGCCAAGGTATGCAGATGTTTGTGGTAATTTTATGTTTCTGTATAGAGTTTGATACCAGTAAAGGGGTTTCATTTTTTGCTTTTACCTGTAGTGGGTTATCGCCAGCCTAATTTTTGTATGCTCTTTCTTTTAATGTACACAGAATGATATGGTCCACATTCATGTGAATCCCATTGAGCCAATGCCTTCGCGCTTGAGTCACAATTTTGTGGTGAGACATTTCAGAATTTATAATGTTTCTTGTTTTGAATGTCATAATCCTTATCTTCAATAATTTCTCATGCCTCTCTCTTGTTTTACTTTTCATATTACATATGCTCTTTGTTTTATTAATACAGCATCTTTACTTTCTACATTTTACAGGTTTGCAATAAGAAAGAAAGATTGCATATCTTGTTGTCCTTGCTTCAAAGAGATGCCACCAAAATCAGGGATAATTTTTGTTGGCGAACAGGTTTTGCCCCTTAGTTCTCTTTGTTACCTGCGCCGTTTGATATTGCCATGTACCTTGTCATTAAATACCTGAGAGACTGCTATAATGGCAGCCTGGAGGTCCTCCTGCTTGAAGAAAACATGAATTTTAATGCACGAGCAACATCGCTATCGGTAAATCTCTGTTTTAGGAACCAATTTACTGTAATAATACAGTCCAAGTTAAGCTGCATTTATTCTCTATCTATATTGTTGGAGACTTCCCAATTTGTAAACAGCTTGCTACGTTGTAGTAATTGGTATCAAATTATGAATGAATATAATTTCCTCCCTTTTCTGTTTGTCATTGTTTTTTCTTCTTTTTTTTATGTGGACATCATTGAATTATTCTTAGGAGAATCAACTTATTATTCTTAGGAATCAACTTTGCCAATAAGCTCATCTAATGTTGCCATATAGTATGAATTCTTGTTTACTTAGTTTTATACTTGTGAGTGCAGGACGTGAGACAAGGAGGCTGCCTTTTAGTGGCGACAGACTTGGCAAGCAGAGGTTTCGACTTGCCAGAGACAACACGTGTGTAATTTTGATCTCCTGAGGACAGCAGTCGACTATCTTCATCGTGCAGGGAGGACAGGACGGATGCCTTTCTCCAATGACAGGTGCAGCGTCACAGTCTCCTCACCCCCGAGGAGCGTTTTGTGTTGCAGAGGTTTGAGAATGAGCTTATGTTTGAATGTCAGGAGCTGTTATTAGATTCTTTTGCTCTATGACAATCTTTTGTTATCTTCTT